TTCAACCCTCTTTGATGACCACAAAAGTTGCTTTATCTTTTTCTCGAACTTTGGTTGGAAATGACCGTTTCAGTGGTGACGATCTTGCAACGATGCTGTCCTCATCTGCATTGGATGGATGCGCTAATCAGGGTGATGTGGAATCCCTTTTGGGACCAGGTTTTCGCCCGCAATTGCCCTCACAACCCTTGCAGCAAGTGGACCTCTCATTTGTGGACTCGTACAGTAATCCCGCTTTCTATCATCATGAGTGAAGCACTAGTCTTTTTGGAATTTGTTTGTTAGATTCATTCGCACAGTTATCAGATTGAGTCTGCTCTGTTCACTCTTTTCTGCATGTACTCGATGACTATGCATTTTATTTCTATTTTCTTAATTTTTATCTTTCTGCATTTTCGTTGAAGAGCAAACGCATGTAGAGTCTCTGTTGGTTGGAGATTTCTTTTTTGTGGGAGTCATTGATAGCTGAAGCCACACGCTCGCGAACGCGGCGCGTTTCTGGCAAAGCGCAGAAGGAACTCGCGATTGACACAGATTGTATACTTGAAATAATTGTAAGCTGTGGTGCCCAATTATTTACGCGAAAGATTTGACAGTCTATACAAACTACTTGCAATACTATTTGTAGTATGATTCTAATTTGAATTGTAATATCCATAGCATCATTAGTTTTCGTCATCATCACTATGTTCTGCAATAGTTTGAGGTCACAAACAACTTTTATTTTCTAGTCCATTTTCTTGCTTAAAATGTGCAATCTGCGTTTTGCTTCAATTTATAACATATCGCTCTTACTTCATTTGTATCTATCTATAATCGTCTGAGCTCAGTTATTCTGATTTCATCTTTCAAATGTACATATTTTGTGATCTCTGATAATCCTCTCAGTCTTGCAGTGCTATAACAATTCTCAGATTCTAGTCTACTTTTTGTATTTTTTCCTACTTAATATTCTACGTCGATGAATATCGCTATTTATAAAGTTGTTCATACTCTTTGATTTGATGTTTATATTTTTTACATGTTAAATCAAACTCGTATTCGATGAAATCCAGCATCCATTGCTTGAGCATACGGCATTCGGTGAAATGCTTCTCGTTCCATGTTGTCGTCACCGCCCACCCATTGACTAGTTACTACATCGCCGCCTTGGTAAATGAGTCTCGCCGGACGAAGAATGCGCCTAGAAAAAAGTTTGATTTGCATTTACTTAGACAAATCATTCGGGTTTCAACAATGGATCAACGAGCTTGCAAAGAATGGACTTTTATCAACATTTTTCTAGAAGATATCCGATCAACTGCTGTTTTCTTTTTCTATAAAATGCACGATTTTTTT